TTGAGCAAGCACAAAATCATACAAAAGTGGTTTTTGTATAATACATGTACTATAATCCCTTACCCAGATAGTGCTTCCTTCAAGAGTCTAAAGTAAGGCATCCTTGAGACCATTACAATGACCGTTGGGAGGTATATCAGTTTACTGTTAGTCAGAGTACCTACAATAAATGAAAAATGAGACACATACATCAATAATACTGATAACAGAATACATTATGTATATACTCATGAGAGAACACTGAGAACATATAGGACACTTAAAAGAACATGGACACTTAAAAATTATAGAGAGAAAGAGGGAGAGAAAGATACATTTAATACGTGAAGAAGAATTAAGAAATAATAACTAGTAAAGGATAATATGTACATTGTACATGTACATGTAGAACATTGAAAATTATAACTTAAAAATTATCACCAGAAAGAAAAAGAGATAAATACATGAAAGAAATAATACATTAGAGAAGATACATGTACTGGAATTAATGTACATGTACATGTGTTCATACCTGATAGACTACTCATACAGCCTGTCCAGGGGAGGAGATTATAATGACCACACCTAACATCACTGGGCTACAATAATAAAAAACACACAATAGCTAAATTGAAAAATGTCTTATCATGCCTATATACATGTACATGTAGCTGTGATTGAGAAATCAGGTTGCTTGATTTCAGATTCATAAATAACTTCCTTACTGGAAAGGTCATGTATAGACAGTTACATTGTGAGGAGATTATGATGAGTCTGCAGTTCATAAATCACATGTACTGTACCTTTAACCTCATGCATAAACTTATACATGTGTAATCTCATTAACCTCCAGTTGTAATGCATACATGTACATGCAAACTGCAGTGTTGCTAAGTAATCATTGTAATTATTGTCTAGTTCTTTTCTACATTATACTTTACTGACAGTCATTCACATTTACAGACATCATATCTAACCTCATGGATAAACTTATACCTCCAGTTTGTATGCATACATGCTGTGTTGCTAAGTAAACTATTAAGGCAGCCTTACAATATGTGACCATAATTGACAAAAGGGCCCTTATGGCGGATTTTAAAATTGATCTTAATAATGGCAAATATCAACCTGTGAGTGCTTTGTTAGACAATCATTGTTTCTAAAAGTTTCATGGTAACTTTTTGCATCCTGTGGAGTAATTTTATGATAAATGGGGCTCAGGAAGTTGGATTTCTTAGGCTAGAAAGACAAATTTCACTACCCGCCATAAGGTATATACCTTTTGTCAATTATGGTCACATATGATAGCATTAGGCCAGCGAATGTACCTTCAATTTTTAACAATTTTTGGGACACTTGACCTTTGGATGATTGCTTTCCACTAGGCTAGAAACAAATTCTATTACAGCATCAAGACTATTGTAATATTTTAAACCTACCTTTAATTTACTTCTGTACTTTCTAGGCATTTAAATGTACATGTATACATGCATCATTATCCATCAAGTTACATTGTATTATTATTGTTGTATGTACATGTATATGCAATTAATTCATGTACATGCATATATTGGTACCTTTTCAATGAAGAATAGACGTGTGAACTTGATAGCCATTGCATAAGTACAAGTACCAAGGATATTAGTAAGGACAAGAGGAACACAGGCTGGCTCCCTCTCAGGAGCATACAACTGACAACCATCTTGAGAGGAGAGAGGGAGAAGAAAACACAAAAAATTAATTTAAAAGTTAAAAATTACAGTACATGTACATGCATATGTATTGTTGTAATGTTTATAGATGTATATGCACATTTATTGCATAGACAATTGGATATATAAGAATCATTAATTATTGAGAGCCATTATTTTTCAAGTACCTGGATATAAGAAGTGATGCAGTGATTCTACCGTCTCCCAGACGAGTCCTAAATCCTCCATTCTGAATCTCTTATTAATGCCCACCCCATCGGCGAGTGATTTGTCATCAGAAGGAGTACCAGCTGAAGGATACACATTAGTGGCACTACCAGTCTTGTTAGAGGAGCAATTAGAATGGACAACACCTGGGGCCAGTACTTGAAGGAATTGGACATTAATATCACGAGTTAGTAACTTCTCATAGTCATCTTGGATAGTCTGAGAGAGAGAGAGAGGGGGGAGAGGGGGAGGGAGAGAAAGGGAGGGAGAGAAAGGAAGGGAGAGTGAGAGAGGGAGAGAGGGGAGAAAGAGGGGGAGTGAGAGAAAGGGAGGGAGAGAGAGGGAGGAGAGAGAGGGGGAGGGAGAGAGAAGGGGGAGGGGGGAGAGAGGGAGAAAGAGGGGGTAAGGTAGTAAGGTAAAATGAAAAATGTGATCAAAGCAAGACAGAATAAGAAAGAAAAACAGGCAAAAAGGACACCATGCAAGCACAGCATTGGACAGGATTGTAACTTGCAAGTGAACCATACAAGTACA